CCTAGTCACTTTACCCTGCCTTCATCTACATATCTACCTCCAATACCTTATTATTATCTATCCTGATGCCTAGTCACTTTACCCTGCCTTCATTACATATCTACCTCCAATACCTTATATTATCTATCCTGATGCCTAGTCACTTTACCTGCCTTCATGGACATATCTACCTCCAATACCTTATTATTATCTATCCTGATGCCTAGTCACTTTACCCTGCCTTCATCTACATATCTACCTCCAATACCTTATTATTATCTATCCTGATGCCTAGTCACTTTACCCTGCCTTCATCTACATATCTACCTCCAATACCTCGTACCTCTGCACATTGATATGATACTGGAACTCCCTGTATATAGCTCCATTTTTTTTACAATTATTATTGTTTTTAAACTCTGCATCATTGGGAAATGTTCGTAAGCAAGCATTTCACTGTAAAGTCTACACCAGTTGTATTCGGTGCATGTGATAAATTACATTTGATTTGATTTGAATCAATCAATGCATATCCACAAAAATATCACATTGATACAATATAGACATAGACACCTTGTGGTGGGCTACTGCAATACATGCAGAGAACTCATACTATCTTCAAATAGAGGCACTACCTTCCAATAGGTGTCTGTTATACAGTGGCTTGCGAAAGTATTCACCCCCCTTGGCATTTTTCCTATTTTTTTGCCTTACAACCTGGAATTAAAATGGATTTTGGGGGGGGGGGTTGTATCATTTGATATACACAACATGCCTACCACTTTGAAGATGCGAAATATTTTTTATTGTGAAACAAACAAGAAATAAGACAAAAAAACAGAACTTGAGCGTGCATAACTATTCACCTCCCCAAAGTCAATACTTTGTAGAGCCACCTTTTGCAGCAATTACAGCTGCAAGTCTCTTGGGGTATGTCTCTATAAGCTTGGCACATCTAGTCACTGGGATTTTTGCCCATTCTTCAAGACAAAACTGCTCCAGCTCCTTCAAGTTGGATGGGTTCCGCTGGTGTACAGCAATCTTTAAGTCATACCACAGATTCTCAATTGGATTGAGGTCTGGGCTTTGACTAGGCCATTCCAAGACATTTAAATGTTTCCCCTTAAACCACTTGAGTGTTGCTTTAGCAGTATGCTTAGGGTCATTGTCCTGCTGGAGGTGAACCTCCGTCCCAGTCTGAAATCTCAGGAAGACTGAAACAGGTTTTCCTCAAGAGTTTCCCTGTATTTAGCGTCATCCATCATTCCTTCAATTCTGACCAGTTTCCCAGTCCCTGCCGATGAAAAACATCCCCACAGCATGATGCTGCCACCACCATGCTCGGGGTGATGAGAGGTGTTGGGTTTGCGCCAGACATAGCATTTTCTTTGATGGCCAAAAAGCTCAATTTTAGTCTCATCTGACCAGAGTACCTTCTTCCATACAGTGAGGGAAAAAAGTATTTGATCCCCTGCTGATTTTGTACGTTTGCCCACTGACAAAGAAATGATCAGTCTATAATTTTAATGGTAGGTATATTTGAACAGTGAGAGACAGAATAACAACTAAAAAATCCAGAAAAACGCATGTCAAAAATGTTATAAATTGATTTGCATTTTAATGAGGGAAATATGCATTTGACCCCCTCTCAATCAAAAAGATTTCTGGCTCCCAGGTGTCTTTTATACAGGTAACGAGCTGAGATTAGGAGCACACTCTTAAAGGGAGTGCTTCTAAATCTCAGCTAGTTACCTGTATAAAAGACACCTGTCCACAGAAGCAATCAAACAATCAGATTCCATACTCTATACCATGGCCAAGACCTAAGAGCTCTCCAAGGATGTCAGGGACAAGATTGTAGACCTACACAAGGCTGGAATGGGCTACAAGACCATCGCCAAGCAGCTTGGTGAGAAGGTGACAATAGTTGGTGTGATTATTCGCAAATGGAAGAAACACAAAAGAACTGTCAATCTCCCTCGGCCTGGGGCTCCATGCAAGATCTCACCTCGTGGAGTTGCAATGATCATGAGAACGGTGAGGAATCAGCCCAGAACTACACGGGAGGATCTTGTCAATGATCTCAAGGCAGCTGGGACCATAGTCACCAAGAAAACAATTGGTAACACACTACGCCGTGAAGGACTGAAATCCTGCAGCGCCCGCAAGGCCCCCCTGCTCAAGAAAGCACATATACAGGCCCGTCTGAAGTTTGCCAATGAACATCTGAATGATGAGACCAAAATCGAGTTATTTGGCATCAACTCAACTCGCCGTGTTTGGAGGAGGAGGAATGCTGCCTATGACCCCAAGAACACCATCCCCACCATCAAACATGGAGGTGGAAACATTATGTTTTGGGGGTGTTTTTCTGCTAAGGGGACAGGACAACTTCACCGCATCAAAGGGACGATGGACGGCGCCATGTACCGTCAAATCTTGGGTGAGAACCTCCTTCCCTCAGCCAGGGCATTGAAAATGGGTCGTGGATGGGTATTCCAGCATGACAATGACCCAAAACACACGGCCAAGGCAACAAAGGAGTGGCTCATGAAGAATCACATTAAGGTCCTGGAGTGGCCTAGCCAGTCTCCAGACCTTAATCCCATAGAAAATCTGTGGAGGGAGCTGAAGGTTCCAGTTGCCAAACGTCAGGCTCGAAACCTTAATGACTTGAAGAAGATCTGCAAAGAGGAGTGGGACAAAATCCCTCCTGAGATGTGTGCAAACCTGGTGGCCAAGTACAAGAAACATCTGACCTCCGTGATTGCCAACAAGGGTTTTGCCACCAAGTACTAAGTAATGTTTTGCAGAGGGGTCAAATACTTATTTCCCTCATTAAAATGCAAATCAATTTATAACATTTTTTACCAGCGTTTTTCTGGATTTTGTTGTTGTTATTCTGTCTCTCACTGTTCAAATAAACATACCATTAAAATTATAGACTGATCATGTCTTTGTCAGTGGGCAAACGTACAAAATCAGCTGGGGATCAAATACTTTTTTCCCTCACTGTATGTTTGGGGAGTCTCCCACATGCCTTTTGGCAAACACCAAACGTGTTTGCTTATTTTTTTCTTTAAGCAATGGCTTTTCTCTGGCCACTCTTCCGTAAACCCCAGCTCTGTGGAGTGTACGGCTTAACGTGGTCCTATGGACAAATACTCCAATCTCCGCTATGGAGCTTTCCAGCTCCTTCAGGGTTATCTTTGGTCTCTTTGTTGCCCCTCTGATTAATGCCCTCCTTGCCTGGTCCGTGAGTTTTGGTGGGCGGCCCCCTCTTGGCAGGTTTGTTGTGGTGCCATATTCTTTCCATTTTTTAATAATGGATTTAACGGTGCTCTGTGGGATGTTCAAAGTTTCTGATATTTTTTTTATAACCCAACCCTGATCTGTACTTCTCCACAACTTTGTCCCTGACCTGTTTGGAGAGCTCCTTTGTCTTCATGGTGCTGCTTGCTTGGTGGTGCCCCTTGCTTAGTGGTGTTGCAGACTCTGGGGCCTTTCAGAACAGGTGGATATATACTGAGATCATGTGACAGTTCATGTGACACTTAGATTGCACACAGGTGGACTTTATTTAACTAATTATTTGACTTCTGAAGGTAATTGGTTGCACCACATCTTATTTAGGGGCTTCATAGCAAAGGGGGTGAATACATATGCACGCACCACTTTTCCGTTATTAATTTTCTAGATTTTTTGAAACAAGTTATTTTTTTCATTTCATTTCACCAATTTGGACTATTTTGTGTATGTCCATTACATGAAATCCAAATAAAAATCAATTTAAATTACAGATTGTAATGCAACAATATAGGAAAAACGCCAAGGGGGATGAATACTTTTGCAAGGCACTTGCACAAAAGAAACATACTGAAGCGTTAAGACATTCCTGCACAATGACATTTGAAATAAATATGAAATAAAACATGACACGAAAATAAACATTTAAACATTTTAATTATTAAAATATGAACCTACAAAACAGCCTATAAACACTATATACACGATAGCTAGCAGTGATGTTGGTTTAGAGTTTAAAGACTTAAAGACAGGCACTTCTTTTCCAGTACTGATTGCTGAACATGTTTTTTTGGCTAAGAGGTAAAACAGTTACATTTGTTGGGCATTGTGAGACAATGTTAAATCAATCGATACAGATTTTAAATAGGGTTGCTTATGATGAAGCAGACAATATACACATTTCCCTGAGCTGAGGGACTAAAACTGCCAACATGTGAGACGTGAGGTATGTTTAATGTTTTGATTTTCCATTGGCGTGGACTGTTTATGGTACATTTATGGTACATATGGGACATTTACATTTGTCATCCATCATGAGCGAAAATTCAGTAAAAAATATGACATGGAATAGTTAGAAATTATTGATGATTCTGGGACCAAATCTCATTGATTGTTGTGAGGGGTCAATAATGTTCCAGTTGTTAGCTTCCTCCAAATCCTCATTCAAGCTGGTGCTACAACAGGCCAACCTCTGGGCAACATGGGTCATCCAACAGGCCAACCTCTGGGCAACATGGGTCATCCAACAGGCCAACCTCTGGGCAACATGGGTCATCCAACAGGCCAATCTCTGGGCAACATGGGTCATCCAACAGGCCAATTTCTGGGCAACATGGGTCATCCAACAGGCCAATCTCTGGGCAACATGGGTCATCCAACAGGCCAATCTCTGGGCAACATGGGTCATCCAACAGGCCAATCTTTGGGCAACATGGGTCATCCAACAGGCCAATCTTTGGGCAACATGGGTCATCCAAGATTAGCTTTCTGAAAGTAGAGAAGAGCCATGTTAGTTTAACTGAAGCCAAAGCACATTTTATTACGTTTTTAAATTTAATCAATATATTTCAATAGATAGATCTTTGTAATGTCAGTGTACCAACCATTAATGTTGTCTGTTAGTTCTTCTGTCTGTCCAAACAGGGAATAATGAGATGTGAAAACAAGAATATGATTGTATTTGCCAAGAATGACTTCCTTCGGAACTGAACTGTTCAATCAAACTCACTGGGGCTTTTCTTGGGAAGCAGCGGTGGTTCACAGATCTCTCGATAGCAAACATCCTGCTGCACTTTATAGGTCCTTTTATAACTGGGGAGCACAAGGAAAAAAATAGCTTATCTACTAAACAAACACAGTACATATAGATACAGATTATTCAACATGCTTCTTGTGGGGATGAACCCATTTACATTCTTGAAATTAATAAAGTTCAACTACTACTATATGTAACAGGTGTCAGTGTGCTTAGAGTATCGCTTCTGGGCTCAAATCAGGGAAGACTTCAGCATATAAAGAGGTTTACAGTCTATATGAAATCAATTCTGACAGGTACAAACATGCAGTGGAGGTCTATGTCCACTGTTTGACACTCACAGGTAATGCCAGACTTCGCCCACCCAGACGGGCACACTCTTTGTTTCAGAGTAGAGGCGGGTACACGGGTGGGGCACTCGCTGGCAGACTGCAGACAGACATGACAAAAGATAAACACAGACGCGTGTTAAAGCACTGAGAGGGTTCTTCTGAGGGAGAGGTTCTGGAGGAAGAGGCCGTTTGCAAGGCTGTTAAATATGATATGAGGGACTGAGGAGGAGAGGCAAGGAGGAAGGGAGAGAGAGAGATAGGGAGGGAGGGATTTGGTGTGAACAGAAAGATAGAGAGAGGGAGGAAGAGAGGGAGAGAGAGAGAAGGTGCAGAGATAGGGAGAGAGGGATCTGGTCTGAGGAAGAGAGACGGAGAGAGAGAGAGAGAGAGAGAGAGGGAAGGTGCAGAGATAGAGAGAGAGGGATTTGGTCTGAGGAAGAGAGAGAGAGAGAGAGAGAGAGAAGGTGCAGAGCGGGAGAGAGGGATTTGTTCTGAGGGAGAGGGAGAGAAAAGGTGCAAGAGAGAGGGAGAGAGACGGGGATTTGGTCTGAGAAGGAGAGCGAGAGAGGAGAGAAAGGGAGGGTGAGATTTGGCACTCCTCCCTGGTGATTGATGGTTTTAGGAAAGGAATGTTTAAACACTCTGACTGAGGGTGTTTGGATGAGGACATGTACAGCATAGAGCGCCACAGTGGATGTGTCATAATACCCACGATATAAGGCAAATATATCGGCAAAAGTCACCTTGTCTGAGAGAGATTTACACGGGTATCAAAACATCACACCAGGGAAAGCCTACACGAAAAACAGCCCTTATTTTAAGTGTTTCTAAAATCCCCTATGGGAAAAAACAAATGGTGAAAAAAGGATTGGAACCATTTCCATGTTTGACCGCTAGGTTTTATGGGTATTATGACTCATACTGTGGTACTATATTAAAAAAGAAAAGTGTGTTGTGTATGTCATCTCATACTGGGCTGCAGCATAACACCTTGCGTTACTGGTGAACATGATTGGACAAGTTCAAACCAAAGGAAAGGTTTTTATAAAATAACCTATTTTGTCTGAAGTGCTTTGTACCTGATTGGTTATGTTATAGTTATGTTGTAACTTGCAAAGTTCTATTTTCTATGTGAGGATGTTGCTGTGTAGTTATGGTGCTGTGACATGATTTCCTCCTATGAGGAAGACAAATTTGAATCTATTTCCTTTGCCAGCCCAAGACAGCTGATCTGAGAGAAAATGCAGTTGTTCTATGCTACACTAGAATAAAAGGGTTCCAAAAGCGTTCTTCGGCTGTCCCCATAGGATAACCCTTTTTGGTTCCAGGTAGAACCATTTTGGGTTCCATGTAGAACTCTCTGTGGAAAGGGTTCTACTTTTTAAAAAGAAAAACATTTTAAATTTGTTGTCATTTAGCGTACACTCTTATCCAGAGCAACTTACAGTAGTGAGTGCATACATTTTTCATACTTTCTTCTGTACTGGTCCCCTGTGGGAATCGAACCCACAACCCTGGAGTTGCAACCGCCATGCTCTACCAACTGAGCTACATGAAACCCAAAACGTTTCTACTTGGAACCAGAAGGGTTCTACCTGAAACCAACAAAGGTTATTCAAAGGGTTCTCCTATGGGGACAGCTGAAGAACTCTTTTAGGTAGCAAAAAAATGTCTAAGCGTGTATGGCACTCCTATGTCAATGTGTGGTGTGGTGGGTGGTGTGATGGGGTGTGGGGCGTGTGGTGTGGTGTGGTGTGGTGGGGTGGGGTGCGGTGGGGTGGGGTGGGTGGAGACCAAGTGTGGTCCTCTGTAGCTCAGCTGGTAGAGCACGGCGCTTGTAACGCCAAGGTAGTGGGTTCGATCCCCGGGACCACCCATACACAAAAATGTATGCACGCATGACTGTAAGTCGCTTTGGATAAAAGCGTCTGCTAAATGGCTTATTATTATTAAGACAGAAGGCATAAACTCACACAGCTCACACTGCCTGCCCTTGAACCCGGCTGCGCAGTCGCAGATGTAGGAGTCGCTCCCCTTCGCACACGTACCCCCGTTCAGGCAGGGCAGACTCTGGCAGTCCCGGGACGACTCTGAAACACAGCAGCTGCTGTCAGGACCCCGAGTTAAGCGGAGCCCAGCAGACAAACCACCAGCTCAGGTTTCACTACGGCTGACCTACTACTACCTACTGATCTACGACCCAAATACCTACTGATCTACGACCCAAATACCTACTGATCTACGACCCAAATACCTACTGATCTACGACCCAAATACCTACTGATCTACGACCCAAATACGTACTGATCTACGACCCAAATAGTCCCTATCCCCCCTCTCTCTCTCCTCTCTCTCTCCTCTCTCTCTCTCTCTCTCTCTCTCTCTCTCTCTCTCTCCCTCCATCTCTATCTCTCTCTCTCTCTCCCCTCTCTATCTCCTCTCTCTCTCACCCCCCCCCCCCCTCTCTCTCTCTCTCTCTCCTCTCTCCCCTCTCAGTCTCATCCCTCTTTTCCACTCTTTCTGCCCAGTAATCCTTCTCTTCTCCCTATCAGTGGACATTTTCTCTGTAATACACTTCTATTGTAAAGCTGGGTTAACATTCTCTCCATCCTCCTCTTTGCCAGCTACAGTCCTGTGGCCATAAGATAAACGGTCCACTGCTGTATCTAGAGACATAATAATGAACATGCTGTTTCTATTGAGCGCAGCCTATAGGAGGAGATTAGCATAGATTAACATAGCTTCCATGTGGCAGACCTCCCATTAAAACTGACTGGTGCTGGGAGATGTAAGGAATGTTGTTCTTTTCATATGGAACCAGTTACAGAGGAGAGGGTGCCATATCTGGGATCCCACTACACTATAACTCTGTCCTGCATTACAGATTATACTGTAGCGACCAACAACAACACCTAGCGATCTTGTCAAGAGGTTCAGATCTCTTGCTGGGAGGCTAAACTGTGGGGTTGACAGTCGCAGGACCCGCTTTTGAGTACCGTTCGGGGCTATCCCCGAATTCACTGCAATACCTACCAGGGATTAGACCCCAAAAATACCTACCAGGGACTAGACCACCAGAATACCTACCAGGGACTAGACCACCAGAATACCTACCAGGGACTAGACCACCAGAATACCTACCAGGGACTAGACCACCAGAATACCTACCAGGGACTAGACCACCAGAATACCTACCAGGGACTAGACCACCAGAATACCTACCAGGGACTAGACCACCAGAATACCTACCAGGGACTAGACCACCAGAATACCTACCAGGTTTTCTTCTGGATCCCTCCTCTTCTTCCTTCATCTGGATCTCTAGTGCAAGGCTGATCTTATTGGTTGTCTCCTCCATCCTCTGAATAGGAGGTTCGGGTTCTGCAAGGCAGAATCAAAGAGGGATTGATCCATACCAGCATACAGTACAAATGTACTACTGGTCTAAATGATTGTTAACATGTACCACATCATGCTGAAGCTCAGCACTTAAAGATGCTATGTGTTGCTGCAGTTGGCATCTTTCCACCAGCACTTACTAGTGACACCTGGCTGGTTATACCTGGTTATATGAGGGTTATGACAGGACTTACTAGTGCGGTGTCTGATGGCCTTTCTGGGCAGGTTGGTGAACTTAGCTGTTATCCTCCCCCTTCCATCAATCAGCTCTGTGTATCTGGAAGATAACAAATTATGGTAAACACTTTTACAGAGACGGACAAATAGAGCCTTAGATAACGAACCTTGAATTGTCTCCTTAGCACTAAATAGGCAGGTTTCAACTCAGCATTCCAATATATATATATGCAATACGTATGCAACACTGCCCTCTAGTGTCTTATTCCTTGTCATAGTTTGACACAAAAACCAACACTGCAGTACAGGGCTTTAAAAACGTTTACCCAGTCCCCTATAAAACCATCCCAATGCTTGTTTGTAGCCTACCTGGGCATCTCTTTAGTGCTCTCTCTCTCTGCAGCCACACCCAGGTCCTGGGTCTCGCCTGCCTCTCTCTCTCTCTCTCTCTCTCTCTCTCTCTCTCTCTCTCTCTCTCTATCTCTCTCTCTCTCTCTCTTCTCTCTCTCTCGCTCTCTCTCTGTTCTCTCTCTCGCTCTCTCGCTCTTCTCTCTCTCTCTCTCTCTCTCTCTCTCTCCTCTTACCTGGGCATCTCTTCAGAGTGCTCTCTCTCTGCAGCCACCCCCAGGTCCTGGGGTTCAGACGGGGCTAGCGTACGACTCACAGGGGTTCCCTGGCCCACTACAGACGTTCTCTCCCTCGTCCTCCCTCCCCATCGCTCCTCCATCGGTACTGGTGATCCAGAGAAAATACACAAAGAGTGAGAGAGAGAGAGAGAGCGAGAGAGAGAGATTACAGTTGTTGTTATTTGTGAGAGCCCAAGGTAAAGTTAAAGTTGATTGATCACGATCACGAATATAAGCATTTCATACAAGTAGTGGTAGAGCAATCAATCAATCAATCGAATATATTTCATAAAGCCCTTTTTATCAGCAGTTGTCACAAAGTGCTTTACAGATACCCAGCCTAAAATCCCACAGAGCAAGCAATGCAAGGCACAGTGGCTCGGAAAAACTCCCTACAAGGCAGGAACCTAGGAAGAGACCTAGAGAGGAACCAGGCTCGGAGGGCTTTCTGTCTAGAGGACTGAAGCAGCCAAAAAGATAGTCCCAGATTGTAAAAGTTTTTAGTTGGTTCCTATCTGATTCTGGTGTGTGGGCACTAAGCACACGTCCCCAGAGCGTAACAATTTGAAATCTCAGTGTGGTCCTATTGAATGGGCATGTTACAGCAGAGGCTCATGGGACGGGGTGGGAACAGCGCACTCACATGTGGTGAAGGCCAGGTGTTGTGGTACACTGTGGATCTGTTCCTGTCCTGTCTTCCTGACAGCCACGAGGGCTAGGTGGTAGTGCTGCCCCGGGGAAAGCTCTCTCAGGGTATACGTCTCTAACTTCCCATTGGGTAGGAAGCGACTCCGGGTGCTCAAGCCTCGCGTCACGTTGACCACGAAGCCATCCGGCAGGTTCCTGGGGTGGCGGTCCCACGTCACCTGGGCAGAGTTGGAGGTCACATGTGCCAAAGACAGGTTCTGAGGGGGGAGGGGCCCTATGGGGAGGGGTGGGGGGGGGGGGGTCAATGTCATCAAGATAGCCAT